CCACCTCCTACTCCTTCAAATAAGTTCTGATTTCACTGTAAAGTCAATAATGTGTAAAAGGCGAGATGTTCACAATAAGCGAACTTCTCAGGCCACCAATAAAGCTCAGTGAAAGGGCTTTACTGGTGAGAGGAGGTGGCCTGCTGCACCAAACCTATTTTTCTAATGAAAATGGCAAACTACAGTGACTGATTTCATCTGATACCCACACACGAAGAATTAAGTTAGAAACAGGAAGTTTGAGCCATGTTTGTGTGTATTTGTGTATTCAGCTGTCTGCACTTAAATCTAAACCGTGAAGTAGAAACAAGTTGTTCATGTGGTCCATGATGCAGACTTTTACAGAAGAAGAAAAGACTCAGGTGTAAAAGTCCGACTAACCCTGAACCACGTGACGTGCGGCTATTGTTCACGCAGCCAGTCACAGTTGCAGCGACCCAACCGGATTAAACTACAAGTACCACCCACCACCACGTCTGTCTCAGGGTGCCAGGTTCGCTGGGCTTGGCAGGAAAAACGTGCACTTCAGGCCCCGCGCCTGCTCTGTGTTTCACGCCTCGTATCTGGCAACGCCTGCAGGTCCTCGCACTGCTGTCGTCACTGAGGTCGGGTAGAAGGAGCGAAGATGGCGACTTGCTACGAGAGATACAATTTGTAAGTAGTGTTCATACGGAACAGCGTAGCGTTTCTGTCTGCGGCGTTTCTGCTCACAGCTCCGGTTAAAGACACATAAGACGAGCGGCTGTCCGTGAGAGGGGAAGCAGCTGCGGGGGCTCGGCGGTGCTGGTGGGGTAGATGACACAGCGGCTGAAGTTTGCTGACAGGCTCGGCCGGCGGAGCAGGAACCAGCCAGCTTTCTCTCTCATTCATAATGAACACCAGTGTGGCTGTGTGGCCGCAGCGAGTGTGGCCGTGGGTGAGAGCGCCGACGGCTGGTGTTCAGGGAGGCTTCATTAACCCAACGAGCTGCTGCACAGCTGCTCCCTCCGGCTGTAATGGCACCGCGCGGCTGGCAGCTCCTCGACGCGTTTTTAGACGTTTTATATTTACTTGTGAAAGTCACTCAGCTGTAAGCGAGCCTGATAAACGCGGACATGTGACGTTAGCCGCGCGGCAGCTGACAGCTCAGCCCCGGCACACCCTCCATCGTGCCCTTTATTTAGAGTACCCAGCCCTGCCGGTCCTGCCTCTACCTGCAGCGTGTTTTACTTACACGAGTGAAGGTGTTGGGTGTTCCCCAGCCTTTCCCAACACGGAGCAGGTAACAGGCACACCTCTGTAGTAAATGGATCCTCTGAGTTTGGGCCATTGAGTGTACAGTGAGCACCGGCATAATCTAACTGGGGAAATGCAAAACAAACAAAAACTTTGACAAAGCATCTCTTCAAATGAAGACCTAACAGTTGTTGGTAACTTGTAAATAACTGTCCAGTTATTATTGACAATAGTTTTTCATTTAACCCTGAGTGTTTAAGGTGCCTCTGGGCACAGAGGCGGCGTCGGGCACAGAGGCGGCGTCGGGTACAGAGACGGTGTCGGGTACACCCTAACCTGATGCATGATCCCAGCACCGCGGGGCTGGATTCAGACCAGTCTGCAGTCACGTGTTACTCATCACACTGCTCATTCTGACTGACAAATGAAAAAGTTACCTCAGAACCAAACCGGCTGTTTGAAAACTCGTTTCCTGCTTGGTCCACACTCTGGTGGGGGTCAGAGTTCACCCCCCCCCCACGGTTAAACAGTACTCTGTCTATTTTCTGCGTTTTCCACCATGGGGTCACGTTCACCACCTGATTATTGTGTGTGTGTCTTATTGATCTTCTGATGGCATAGCTTTCAGGGACTACAGATGAAACCTGTCCTGATTCACACTCGCCTGTTGTCCACGCTGTGGCTCCTGGCTGTGGGACCTTATTCTGCCTCTTTTGTTCTCTTTGTTCTTGGTTTTGCACTGACTGTCAATCACAAAGCACCTGACTCTTTCTTAAGTGTGCGTAGGTGCAGATGCTGTGTTTAAACCTCAGGACAAACCAGAGCAGCGTCCAGTCTGAACCTGTGTGCTGCTCTGGAGGTGACCCGGGGTCACAGAGCAAACATGAGACTGCAGATGTGCTCTCCTCTTAGGTTTCCATCGCACAGAGTGTGGGTGCTGACAGTCTGCGCTTTAAATAAAAGCCTCAGTTTGCTGCATTTAGAAAGTCACTGAAACATTTGCTGATACACAGCATGAATCTTTAGTGTTGACATTTGTATTTGATACTGGTTCATCACAACATCGTGCTCCGGGCATCGTAGGCTTTGGTAACATTGAGCTTTTGTTTAAGAGGAAGATGGCTGGAGTTCCTCTGCCGGCGTGTTTGTCATTATTTAATTAAACAAGCGGGAAAGTGTCCGTCACAAACGAGCATCGCAGCTTTGTAGAGTGAAAGATGACGTCAGACAAGTTTGTTTTCAGCTGACAAAGGCAGAAATATTGTTTCCACGTGGCAAAGAAAACGAGCACTAAAGGACCGACGGGGTCGTGTTTGATCAATGATCTTTGGTTGTAGTTGAGTGATTGAAGTATAATCAGCATTAACAGTTCATGCTGTTGAATAATCGACATTATTTGTTGACTAAACACCTCCTGGCTGTATCTTCATGTGCGACTGAAAATGTCCTCTTTCCTCCCGTTTCCCTCCCCCAGGCACACGACCCCTGAGAAGTTCTTCATCGAGGCCTGCGACGAGGGCGCCGATGCTGTGCTGGCAATCGACAGGGTCTCGAACGAGATGACCCTCACAGGTGGGCTGTTCGAAAGTGCTGAGCATCTTATGATCCAAAGACCGGGCGCTGTCGTCGAGGCGTCAGTTTGTTAGCTAATCACATGTAAAGACCTTCCTGACGTTCTCAGATGTATGAGAATAACAAACCAGGTGTCCTGACACATGCATGTTTACAACAGACTCCTGATGTACACAGAGTGTTAGCCTGCACGCAGTAACTACATGTCACTGTTACAGGGATATAAGAGGCTTAGTCCACTGTGTGTGTGCATCAGGACTGCTGTCCAAGCTAAGCTCAGCCGCACTCCTGAGCCCGTCCTCACAGGAAGTAGACGTCTACTGCATAAGATGAACTCTTGACACGCTCTGTGCGATCGGTCCATCTTAGTCGTCCCCATACGGGAAGATAAAGGAAACGAGGTGACGTTAAAACTAGCAAAGACGGTCCAACTGCATTACTGCCATGATAACAAGACTGTGCTGCACATGTTTGCAGATTGTGTTAAATAAGCTGCTTTTGGGGTTTTTGCTTTTCCAACGCTCCAAACTCTCGTCTGATGTTGTCATCATGGATGTTCAGATATGCTGTTTGCATTCATTTATACTGTGAAGCCAGTTCAACACAGCCTTTCTTTGTTTAGCTGGATCAACAATAACAGTTTTCAGTAAATTGACAGTAAACTGCAACAAAGTTACAAAGTGTCAGAGATGAGCACACAGAGCAGTTAAGTGAACGTTTGGATTGAATATAATTATATAACCAGGTGAGTTGAGCTCTCAGTGCGTCGTTTATTTCTGCTCTGAAACTTTAAACTGGATCCATTTAAACATCACGGCCTGGTTTCCCGTGCAGGAT